CCCGTGGGGGCGGGGGGGTTGGGGCGCTGCACCCTGTCACACACAGAGCAGGGCCGATCAGGGGGTGGGGGAGCTCCCCCCTATCAGGCACAGAGCAGGGCTGATCAGGGGGTTGGGGCGCCTTCCCCTGTCACGAACAGAGCAGGGTGGATAGGGAGGTTGTGGCCCCGCCCCCTGACACACACAGTGCTGCAGGGCGATCAGGGGGTTAGGGCGCTGCCCCCTGTCACGCTGATCCTGGTGCTGGGAGGCCTTGCGGCTCTGCTGATCCCGGTGCTGGGAGGCATGTTACCCTTTTACTATATAGGATAGAGGCCTGGTGCACGTGTGGGGGCCGGCTGGTTTGCCCTGAAGGGTGTCCTGGATCAGGGTGGGGGTCCCACTGGGGTGCCTGGCCAGCCTGGGTGAGGGGATGATGGCTGTTTGCAGCTGGTCACACACCCTTCAGGGTGGGAGTCCCCACTGGGGTGCCTGGCCAGTCTGGGTGAGGGGCTGAGGGCTGTTTTCAGGCCGACTGAAGCTCCCAACTGCTCCTTTTTTTCTTTTTTTTTTTATTCTGGGCCAGCTTTAGCTCTGGCTCCAGCTCTGAGGCCTCTGCTGCTGAAAGAAGGTATCTGGTTTGTTTCGGTTCTATAATCGAAACTCTGTATCAACTCCAGCTCTGAGATCCCGGGCTTGCTGAAAGCAGGTTTCTGGGGTTCTGTTTAGCTTCTATATTTGTTACAATTTTTCTTAAACTGCAAGCTCAGAGGCCAGCAAGGCAGGCGGGGAACGTTGGAGTCCTCCGTCACTGAAGCAAGCAAGTCTCATGTTAGTTTCAAGCTGCCTGGCTGCCGGCCGCCATCTTGGTTGGCAGTTAATTTGCATATCTCTCTGATTAGCCAATGGGAAGGGTAGCAGTCGTACGCCAATTACCATGTTTCTCTTTTATTAGATAGGATGTTGCCATGAACATTCATGTCTAAGTATTTGTGTGAAAATACGTTTTCACTTGAGATGAATCTTCCAATTGGTCTTTGTCTTATCTTTGCATGTCCTTGAGAATAGCTAACACCAGTTTATTTGTTAACTGTGTAAAAGTAGGTCATATTTGTCCCCACTCTGAATGTGGGTAGGAAATGGTTTGGAGGAAAAAAACCACACTGCTTGTTGTGAAATCTACTCATAAATTAATGATTTGGGGGCTATTTCAACTATTATATGATAGATAACTTTACCCTATAGACCAGTGGTTCTCAACCTGTGGGTCGCCAACCTGTGAGTCACGACCCCTTTGGGGGTCCAATGACCCTCTCACAGGGGTCGCCTAAGACCATAGGAAAACACATATATAATTACAATTGTTTTTGTGATTAATTACTATGCTTTAATTATGTTCAATTTGTAATAATGAAAATACATCCTGCATATCAGATATTTACATTACAATTCATAACAGTAGCAAAATTACAGTTATGAAGTAGCAACAAAAATAATTTTATGGTTGGGGGTCACCACCACATGAGGAACTGTATTAAAGGGTTGCAGCATTAGGAAGTTTGAGAACCCTGCTATAGACTAAGCAAAAAAGGAAATTTAGGTCTTAGCTTTGCCTCTTTTTCTTGGGCAAATGATTCTCCCTGAGCCTCATACTTTTATATGTAAACTTAGAGGCCTGATGCACGAAATTTGTGCAAGAATAGGTCTTCCTTCCCCCGGCTGCTGGCACCGGCTTCCTCAAGCACCCGGGATCCAGGCTTCCCTCAAAGCCCCAGCTTCGTCCAGAAGGTCGTCTGGAAGGTCATCCAGAAGGACATCCAGTCTAGTTAGCATATGACGCTTTTATTATTATAGATGTGAGTACCCTACTTCTTATATAACATACATCACACTTTATGTTTGTGTTCCTCTTGTGGTATGTTCCATAAACAAATAAAAAACAAAACAAAAAATAAAACTATAAGTATCTCCTCCTCAAACTCTTATAAATATGAGGATAAAATAAAAGCATAGTTTTTTTTAAATTAAATTTGTTGGGGGTGATATTGATTAATAAAACATAGTTTTTAATAAAATAGTTTTAAATTTTCTGTAAGAGGTGCTTCATGAATTCAAAGTAATAGTATTTCAGACATTCTCAACTTGAATTAATTAGACTAGAAATGAACAAAATGTAGGGGTGGGGGAAGTGACTGATATAGAGAACAATGGATCATTGAATTTTTTTATTGTGGTAAAATACATGTTTTAACCATTTTGTGGTAGTTCTGTGGCATTGAGTACATTCACATTGTTGTGCAATTATCATTACTACCCATCTCCAGAATAAAAACTGTATTAAATAATAACTCCCCATTCTCCTCTCTCCTCAGCTCCTGCTAACCACCATTCTACTTTCTGTCTCTATGAATTTGACTATTCTAGGTGCTTCATGTAAGTGCAATCATAGCAGTATTTGTCCTTTTGTGTCTGGCTTATTTCACTAAGCAGAATGTATTCATGATTCATCCAGGTTATGGCATGCTTCAGAATTTCATTCCTTTTTATGGCTAATAGCCCATTGTATGTATGTACCACAATTTATCTTTCATCAGTTGATGGGAATTTGGGTTGTTTCCACCTTTTGAATATAATGAATAATGCTGCTATGAACATTGGTGCACAAGTATCTGAGTCTCTGCTTTCAGTTCTTTTGTGTATATACTCAGAAGTGGAATTGCTGGGTCATATGGTAACTCTATATTTAATTTTTTTTAGGAACCACCATAATGTTTCCACACAATTTTACTTGCCACCAGCAATGCACAAGGGTTCCAGAACTTTTTCATCATCCCCAAATAAAACTCTGATTTTTTAAAATGACTTTTGTTGACAGTTCTTCTTTTTCTGCTAGGTATCTCAGGTAGTTTGAACTTTGATGAGGAGACTGATGGGGAGGAAGAGGAGGGAAAAAAATTATCTCATTCACCACGTTCAGAGGCAGAGAGACCCAGTTCTGCATCCAGCCAGAAATCAACCACAGTATGTAGATCTGAAACTTCCTCCTTTGGAGCTAATTTAACTATTTCCCAAATATAGTGTACATTCAGTATTTAAATACCATTACTGAGTGAGGGTTGCTTCAAAAGATTTAAGCTCTAATTTAGATGTAAAGTTCATGACCTCTAATTTCATATCTCAAGCCAGCTATTGTGACACTATATACCATTTTCATACTTAGCTCTTTCATCACTCCCAGTATTCAAATACATACTTAATTTCTCAGAGTTTTCTATTATTTTGTCAGAAGACTGAAGACATAGGGGTATAAACCAATAAGCTATTTTATCATTAAGTACTTCTCAAAGAGATTATAGGTTTTTCTGACTCTACCTCCATTGCTCATGTATGGCTATTCTTTCAGGATACAGGAGCTTCTGGTACTTCAGCCCAACAAACTGATAACCAGCTGGGAGAAGTAAAAGATTTAGAGGACTTTGCTTTTAGTTCTGCTCCTCGGGGTGTCACAGTGAAGTGTCGGATAACCAGGGATAAAAAAGGGATGGATCGGGGTCTCTTCCCCACTTACTATATGCACTTGGAAAAGGATGAAAATCGGAAGGTATGAGAATTGATTCTTTTTAAAAAATATATATTGTTATTGATTTCAGAGAGGAAGGGAGAGGGAGAAAGAGCTAGAAACATCAATGATGAGAGAGAGTCATGGATCAGCTGCCCGCTCCATGCCCTCTACTGGGAATCAAGCCTGCAACCCAGGCATGTGCACTGACCGGGAATTGAACCATGACCTCATGGTTTATAGGTCTACACTCAACTGCTTTGCCATACCGGCTGGGCTTGATTCTATTTTTTAAATTATTGCTTTAGAGAGAGAGAGAAACATCAATGTGTTATTCTACTTACTTATGCATTCATTGGTTGATTCTTTTTGTTTTTTATTGATTTCAGAGAGAGGAAGGGAGAGGGAGATTGAAACATCAATGATGAGAGAGAATCATTGATCAGCTGCCTGATGCTCGCCCCCTACTAGGGATTCAGCCTGAAACCTGTGCTCTGACCAGGAATCAAACCCATGACCCTTTGGTGCACAGGACAACGCTCTAACCATAGAGCAACACCAGCCAGGGCAAAAGAGCAAGTTTTAGGTAATAGAAGGAATTGGAAATATAGAAGAATATACAAGTGAAAAATATTGTTTCTCACCCTAGAAATTCTAACTTACTTTGTACCTATGTTTGAGACAGTTTATACTTGCTAATGAACAATGTATTTTGTATTAATACCAGGTCTAAGTGGATGATTTTAGGGTCCTAGAAATTAGATGGTGATAGTAAATATCATGGTTATTATTACCACTATTTATTGAATGTTTATGATATATCAGGCATATCCTAAGTGCTTCATATTTATTATCATCTACAATTCTTATGACAGCCTGGTAAGATAGGATGTATATCCCTGCTTTATGGACAAAGGAACTGGGGTTTAAGAGCCAGATTCAAATCCATATGTTTGATTCCAAAGTCGCCCGTTAACTACTCCAACTCTTTTGCTTCCTTGTTATTGTCTAAGTCCAGTAGGGTTTTAGCAAGGAAGCATAAATATGAGAGTATTCATCTGAAAAATTTTTAAAAATATTTTTTTATTTATTTCAGAGAGGAAGGGAGGAGAGGGAGATAGAAACATCAATGATGAGAGAGAATCATTGATCGGCTGCCTCCTGCATGCCCCACAGGAGGGCTCGAGCCCACAACTCAGGCTATATGCCCCTACCGGGAATCAAACTATGACCCCCTGGTTCATAGGTTGATGCTCAACCATAGAGCCACACCGGCTGGGCTAAAGTCAAAAAATTTTTAAAAAATACAAAGAAAAACCCCAACAAAATACAAAAAGGAGTATTAGGACTGCTATGGCAGTAAAGAATGGGAAGGGTAGGTATTCAGGATCCTGTCTCCCATAAAGTTGGAAAGACTCTTATTCATGAAATTGGATGAAGCTTTTAAAAAAGTCACTAGAGGTTTTTAGGGATAAAGTTTTATTGAGAACCAAGCTAGTGAATTTAGGAAAGTTACATAGTGGGGAAACACTGATAGTGAATTCTGAGAAGCCTTATGAGGGAAAAGGGATCAAGACCCACAGATTGGTCTTCTCTGACAAAACGCCAAGTGGTGATGACACTGGTGCTGAAGTAGGATGAGACCCGTGGGTTGTGGTGGGAGGCCCAACTGACTTCTGTCAATGGTGGGGATTGAGGCCACGGAGTTTGTGAGGCAAGGCTAAGGACAAGGGGTGATGCCCCTCGCTAAGCTCAGTCATTGGTTAAAAACACAGTTAAATCCCTGGAGAAGATCTCTCTCTTCTTCCTGCTCATCAAGAAATCTGAGATGGTTGATTTTTTTTCCTGGGGGCATTCTTTAAGGATGAATTTTGAAGATTATGTCCATGTAAAAGCAGTCTCGTGCTGGCCAGCAGACCAGGTTCAAGGCATTTGTTGCCATTGGAAATGACAACGGACATGTTGGTCGGGGTGCTACATGCCACAGGGAAATAGCTACTGCCATCTGTGGGGCCATGATGCTGACCAAGTTCTCCGTAGTCCTTGTGTGGCCAGGCGACTGAGGGAACAAGATCGGCAGGCCCCATACTGTCCCTTGTAGAGTGGCTGGCCAATGTTGCTCTGTGCTGGCGGCCTTGTCCCCACTGCCAGGGGCCTTGGCATTGGCTCAGCCCTGGGCCCAAGAAGCTGCTGCTGCTGCTGGATGGCATCAAGGATGGCTGCACCTTGGGCAGGGGCTGCAAAGTGAGAAGGTAGAACAAACCATAGCAATTCTCTTGACTTCATTTTTAACTGACCTTTTTTTTCTTTTTCCAGATATTTCTTCTTGCTGGTAGAAAACGGAAAAAGAGCAAAACATCCAACTACCTTATCTCCACTGATCCAACAGATTTATCTCGTGAAGGGGAAAGTTATATTGGCAAACTCAGGTGAAAGCATCCTTGTATCACTGTCCTATTCTTTCTGGTACTTTGATTCTTATTGTAAAAAAATAATATAAATAGAGCCACTTTAAAAATGGAGTCAGAGCTGCCACCCCAGAGAAATTGACTTGTGCCTGAACCCTTTGAAATGTTAAAACAGGGCAGAATAACCTTTGGACTGGGCCTAAAACGATATTGTGCCAAGATAACAAGAAAGCAGATAGTAAGACGACCGGACTGATGGCTACTTGACTAAAAATTAAAAACATTGTTTAGAATTAGTGTCACTCTGCTAGCTTATCTGCACCAATAGCAGTGCCTCCCCCATAGTGATGTAATTGTTCCCTTCCCTTTCTCGTATATACCTCTTGCCTTTGTCTCCTAATGGCAGCACCATTTGGGCTTCTGCCTGAATCAGTGCTTTCTGAATAGCTATTCTTTTTTTTTTTAATCTCAAATAAATGCTTGTTGCCTCTCGCTTCTGCCTTTTATTTTTAGGTTAACACTGTAGTTTCAGAACAACCTATATTTTTTTTACAATGAACATGTATTAATGTTGTAATCTAAAGAAAAATAAGTTAAAAGAAAATCTAAGTCCTTTTGTTGTTTTAATGAGAGATCTTTGAATAGTGATGAGGAACATTTAGATATTTGGGGAACAGGCAGATATTCTGTTAAACACCTCTCCTAGATTGTGTTTGTGGAAGAGAAAAAATATAGATCATTATGATGATTATTTCTTTTGATTCTAGATCCAACCTCATGGGGACCAAGTTTACAGTTTATGACCATGGTGTCAGCCCAGCCAAGGCCCAAGAAAAGGCCCATGCCCGGCAGGAGCTGGCAGCCATCTGTTATGTAAGTGCTGTCCTCGGAATCACTTAACCTACACTGAACTCATAATCCTCCCTCCCAAGCTTGTTTCTATTTCTGTGATCCCCTTTTCTGTTACTGGAATCATTTTCTCTTTCCAAATTTTAATTATTTATGAATTGCCAAGTTCATTTATGCTTTTACTGTGTTAATATGTCTTGCCTTCCCTTTTCCTAATGCCATTGGATTACCACAGACCTTCATGACCTCTTAATCCATTGCCAGAGGCTACAATAAATTACAAATTAATCTCTTTGCTTTTAGTCTTTTCTATCTAGTTCATTCTGTACTGCTGCCAGATAAATCTTCCTAAAACAGAACTCCAGCTGATCCTGCTGTTCTCCTGCTTCAAATCTTGTATGACTTCCCAGGGTGTACAGAATAAAGGCCTAACAGACTCTCCCTCCTGTTTAGCCTTTTCTTTCAGACTCTCCCTCCTGTTGCCATCATTCTGGCCACACAACTCTCCTGTTTTATCCACCATATGATCTTCCCTCTCCTGAGAGCCTTCCCTTTTCCCTTCCTTGCCTTTACCATATCAACTGATGTCATCAGAGAAGTCTTTTCTGACCACTGGATGTGGCTGGCATTCCTTTGTGTACATCTGCATGGCACCCAGTGCTTCCTTTCAGAGTTGTTGCTTGATCCCAGTCTCAACATGCATGACTATGCATGACTCGTGTGTGTACATGTGCATATGTATATGAATACACACACAGACATATATCTACCTATTTAATGTGCTTATTTTATTTATATATAATCTGTCTGGCTTGACAGGCATTTGAGTTTTTACCTCCTAATACAGGCCCCATTTAATTTACACTGTAATTCTCACTGTAGATCAGATAGTGCTGTACCCTCATTGGGACAAAAATATTTATTGATAACAAAATTGGACAGTTTGTTCACAGTTGTCTCAAAGTTCATTTAAGATTAAAGAGTAAATTTTCAAGCCAATATAATCTATTTTACATTCAAATGTTCAAATTAGGTTTAAAAAAGAGAAATATAATTACTTTCCTGGTCTTGATTATCTGTCTCTCTTTGTTTAAACTACAGTAATAAGCAGCTTTAGTACTCTTGACATTGTCAGCATTTTACATGCCCAAATGAGTTTTGCGTGAAGAATGTGGTCTTGTTTTCTTTTCTGTTTCCAAGTTCTGTCTTATTTTCCTATCTTCCAGGAAACAAATGTGTTTGGATTTAAAGGTCCTAGGAAGATGTCTGTGATCATTCCAGGGATGAATATGAACCATGAACGGATCCCATTTCGGCCACGAAGTGTAAGAATATATTTAATCAGCAAAGGACTCTCAAAGACAAGAATACAATATAGAAGAGATCAGTCCAAAAATTATTGATTCTTCTAGAACTGGAATATTGCTCATACTCTTATTTAGTTAATTTGTTTGTACATTTTAATGGATTACTTTTTAGAGAGAGAGGAAGGAAAAGGGAGATAAACATTGATGTCAGAGAGAAATATCGATTGGTACTCCCATAGGTACCCCAACTGGGGTCTGAACCCACAACCTGAGCATGTACCCTGACCAGGAATAGAACCGGTGACCTTTTGGTGTTAGGGATAATGCTCCAACTGAGCCACACCAGCCAGGGCCCTCATACTCTGCTTTAGGAGAGCCATCACTCCAGAACCTCAGGAGAAGTACATTGCAGAGCAGTTGTTAGAGTGCTTGATTTGCAACCACTGACTCTTCCTGGAATGGAGGAAATATTCCCCTGCCCACCTTCTCCGTCAGAGTTGCAAGTGAATGGTTTCTTATGGTTCTCAGTATAGAGTAATGTTTTTCCTTTCAAATAGGACCATGAGAGCTTGCTTTCAAAATGGCAAAACAAAACCATGGAGAACTTGATTGAGCTGCACAACAAGGCCCCAGTGTGGAATGATGACACGCAGTCCTATGTCCTGAACTTCCATGGCCGGGTCACTCAGGCATCTGTGAAGAACTTTCAGATAGTCCATGAAAATGACCGTAAGCCACAGGAAGGACTGGTTGGGAATGGAAGGGAGGCTATTCTTACATGGTGGGGAAATGAACATTTCCTGTCACTGATAGGAACCTATATTCAGGAGAGAATTATCTAAGAAAGAAATGATTTCTTTGGAAAGAGAAAACAACAGTGTCACAGTAAAACTTCTGAACTACTGTGTTAAGGAGGGCTGAAGAGTGAGAGATTTCTTCCTGTGGCCGAGAGAAGTCTTAGAGGAGGCTTTTTGGGAAGCAAATGCAAATGACCCTCACCCAGTAAAGGTTCCTTGGCAGCTCTAGCTCATGGAGCTTGTACTGTCCCCAGCAAGCTACTCTCGACTTTTCTCTCCTCTGTCCCTTTCATGCTGGTCAGGAGTAGCCTCCCGTTCCCTGTAGTTGAGGGGAATCATAATAGAAACTTTGCTCATGGTTAGCAGATATTCTTTTTAATAAATCTTTCCATTCTTCTAAAAGTTGCCCATTTTATTTTTTTTAAATATCCTATCATAATAGACAAACAGGGTAATTGACCGTACCTTCGCTACGCCTCCCATAGGCTAATCAGCGCGATATGCAAATTAACCACCAACAAAGATGGCGGTTAATTTGCATACAGCGCGAAGCGGTGGAGCCAAGACTGAAGGCGGCTCCAGCCGGAGCAGCCAGGGCTTTGAAGGTGGCTCCGGCTGGAGCAAAGGCCTGGGTCCTGGGTGCTGGAGGAAAACCGGTTCCGGCAGCCAGGGGAAGGGAAGGCCTATTGCACAAATCTTTTCATGCAGCAGGCCTCTAGTATATTTATATTTATATTGATTTCAGAGAGGAAGGGAGAAGAAGGGAGAGAGAGAAACATCAATGATGAGAGAGAATCATTGATTGGCTGCCTCCTGCATGACCCCTCCTGGGGACCAAGCCTGCAACCCAGGCATGTGCCCTTGACCGGAATCGAACCTGGGACCCTTCAGTCCGCAGGCCGATGCTCTACCCACTGAGCCAAACTCGGTAGGGCTAAAAGTTGCCCATTTTAAAGAGACCCGCTGATTAACTGACCTTTTGGAGGATTTTTATATCTTAACAGGCTTTCCCCAGTACAACCACATTGTCTTCTAACATCATATTTTCTCTCTGTTTCTAGCTGACTATATTGTCATGCAGTTTGGACGTGTGGCAGATGATGTTTTCACTCTGGACTACAACTACCCGCTGTGTGCACTCCAGGCCTTCGCCATTGGGCTTTCTAGCTTTGACAGTAAGCTGGCATGTGAATGAGACAGAAACACGTACACAGCTGGACGTCCTCACTACAGAGCTTTTGGGAGCAGATAGTTGCCTCCCTGGCTCTTGGCCCAGGGCATAAAAAGAGACAGTCTGTCCCTCTTGGAATAATCCCCGAATGTATGTATGTATATGTGTCTATACATTTATGTGTGTGCATATACTCGTATACATATGTACACACACACACACTTCTCTGCCTTTCACAGATCTGGTCAAGGGGTGCAGTTTACCAGTAACATAGGTGAGGCATTATTCAAAGTACAGGAAGGTTCTTGTCCAGAACACATTTTGACTCCTGAGGTTATTGCCGCTAACAGATTCTGTGCCTCAAAAGTTGGATTTCCTGTGCTTGGAAACTTGCAACTAGAATCAGGTTCTAATAATTAGATGCTTGGGTCTCTCTTTTGAAGACCTTTTCAGAGAAGGGACAGTTCCCTAAATTCACTTTAGTCTCTAGGTCTGCAACGTTTTCTGAAAACGGCCAGATCATCTCTCTTATAATTAATTACTCAGTGCTGTCGTTGCAAAAGCGCCCTAGTTTGTTCTTACATGAGCGAGTGTGGTCGTGTTCCAGTGAAACAGGCAGCAGCCAGGTTTGGCCTGTGGGCTATAGTTTTCCAACCTCTGCTTCAGGTATATCTCTGTACTCGCTGGACTTGGGCATTTCCAAAA